AGCTAAGTTAGCCTACACTTGTATGTCTATTCATCCCACTTATTAACAGGATAACAAAACAGGGATACTGTTTTATAGAGACTCAACAGGATTATTTTTTAATAGGAATTCTGACAACCACATGTATTATCAGTTTGAGAAAAATAATAATATATAATGACAGTTTATCATTTGGTGAATTTCTCTCTTAAAATAATCACCAACAATGGACTGCAAAGTATGTCCAAAGCGGCAATGTTCAGCTATCTCCGACTATGAGAATAGAGAGGGAAGTTTGTGGACTCACCAGCATCGGAGTATCTTTAGCCAACGTTTGTGCCAACTCCTCGGGTGTGAAATCCTGCAGGTCCATGCCGTTTACCTGCATCAGTTTGTCTCCTCTCCTGAGAAAAACAGAAAACATATGAGGCTTATACTAAACGGTTTTAGTTCAATATTGTCTGCCAAAGTTGGAACAGTTTTAGACATTTCACATTGAAGGCGTCAATCTTTCTTGTTTTTCTAGTTTTTCTAGTTTTTCTTGGGAGGAACCGGACTTAGTTGTGAAAGACTTGGTTTGTACATTACATTACATTGCATTTAGCTGACGCTTTTATCCAAAGCGACTTACAATAAGTACATTCGACCAGGAAGACACAACCTTGAAGAAAACAGAATCATATAAGTACATCAGGTTTCATAGAGCCAAACATTTCAAGTGCTACTCAACTGGCTATAGATAAGCCAGTCCTTTATTAGTATATAAGTGCTCAAAGTGGAGTCGAAAGAGATGAGTTTTCAGTCTGCGCCGGAAGATGTGCAAGCTATCTGCTGTCCTGATGTCAATGGGGAGCTCATTCTACCATCCTGGAGCCAGGACAGCAAACCCACGTGTTTTTGCTGATGGGAACTTGGGTCCCCCTCGCAGCGAGGGTGCAGCGAGTCGTTTGGCTGATGCAGAGCGTAGTGCACGCGCTGGGGTGTACAGTTTAACCATGTCCTGGATGTACGAAGGGCCAGATCCATTCGCAGCTTGGTAAGCAAGTACCAGTGTCTTGAAGTGGATTCTAGCAGTTACCGGAAGCCAGTGAAGGGAGCGGAGGAGCGGCGTGATGTGGGAAAATGTAGGAAGGTTGAAGACCAGACGAGCCGCTGCATTCTGGGTGAGCTGCAGAGGTCGGATGGTACATGCAGGTAGACCAGCCAGGAGGGAGTTGCAGTAGTCTAGGCGTGAGATGACGAGAGCCTGGACCAGAACTTGCGTCGCTTTCTGTGTCAGCTGGGGACGTATCCTCCTGATGTTGTAAAGCGTGTATCTGCAGCAGCGGGTTGTAGCAGCGACGTTTGCAGTGAAGGACAGGTTGTTATCTAGGATCACACCCAGATTCCTTGCAGTCTGAGTCGGGGAAACAACACAGGTGCCGATGTTGATAGTCAGGTCAAGAGTGGGACAATCTTTTCCCGGAAGGAAAAGAAGCTCAGTCTTGTCAAGGTTGAGCTTGAGGTGATGAGCAGACATCCACTGAGAGATGTCAGCTAGACAAGCAGAGATGCGTGCGACGACCTGGGTCTCTGAGCGGGGAAAGGACAGAATTAATTGGGTGTCGTCAGCGTAGCAGTGGTATGAAAAACTATGCGGGCTAATGACTGATCCGAGCTAGTTTGTGTACAGGGAGAAGAGGAGGGGACCAAGAACAGAGCCCTGAGGGACCCCTGTAGTTAATTGACAAGGGTCGGACTCAGACCCTCTCCAAGTTACCCTGTAGGTACGGTCTTTGAGGTATGAGGTGAGGAGGGAAAGTGCAGAGCCTGGAACTCCAAGTTTTTGGAGAGTGCGAAGGAGGATCTGATGATTCACCGTGTCGAATGCAACAGACAGGTCCAACAGGATGATGACAGAGGAGAGGGAGGCTGCTTTGGCAGTGTGCAGTTCCTCAGTGACAGCAATGAGAGCAGTTTCTGTGGAGTGACCTGCCTTGAAACCAGACTGGTGCGGATCCAGAAGGTTGTTCTGATGGAGATAACAGGAGAGTTGTTTAAAGACAGCGCGTTCAAGTGATTTAGACAGGAACGGGAGGAGAGAGACAGGCCTGTAGTTTATAACATCAGACGGGTTGAGAGTGGGTTTCTTTAGGAGAGGGTTTACTCTTGCTTCCTTGAGACTGTTTGGAAAGTGACCAGAAGTTAGAGAAGTGTTGATGAAATGGGTGAGAAACGGTAGAATATCAGGAGCGATAGTCTGAAGGAGGTTTGAAGGGATAGGGTCCAGAGGACAGGTGGTAGGGCGGGCAGAGGTAATGAGGGTAAGAACCTCACTTGGAGAGAGAGGGGAAAAGGAGGTTAGTGTGTGGGTGGAAGGAGGGTCTGGTGACCCAGCGGTGAGTAAAGGTGAGTCAGAAAAAGAATATCATCAACCTTTTTTTCAAAGTGGATAACAAAGTCGCTTGACAGAAGTGAGGAGGGGGGAGGGGCTTTGGGAGGGTCCAAGAGGGTGGAGAAGATGGAAAATAGTTTTTTGGGATTGGAATAGGAAGATTGGATCTTATCTTGAAAGAAAGTGCTTTTTTGCCTGAGAGATCGAAGCAGAGAAAGAGGAGAGGAGAGCCTGATAGGTTAGGAGGTCGTCATGGTGTTTGGATTTCCACCGTTTCCGCTCTGCTGCCCGAAAGACGGTTCTATTAGCACGCAGTGCATCATTTAGCCAGGGAGCAGGAGGGGACTGACGAGCCTGCCGAGATGTGAGAGGACAGAGAGAGTCCAGAGAGGATGAGAGAGTAGAGAGGAGAGTTTCTGCAGCAGAGTTTGGAGGCAGGAGTTGGAACGAGTCAGAGGAAGGGAGGGCTGAGAGCACCGATGAGGCAAAGGTAGAGGGGGAGAGGGAACGAAGGTTACGGCGGACAGGTGCAGGATGAGAAGAGATTAGTTTGTTATGTTTGGAAAGGGGTAGAGAGAATGAAATGAAGAAGTGATCGGATGTGTGGAGCGGGTTTACAGACAGGTTAGAAGTAGCGCAGTTCCTTGAGAATATGAGATCAAGGACATTGCCAGCTTTATGAGTTGGTGGGGAAGGAGACAGTGAGAAAGCAAAGGCGGTTAACAGAGATGTTAGTTCGTCTATCTTCCCTGTCTGGAGGTTGAAGTCTCCGAGAAGTACAGCGGGAGGACCAGTTTCAAGTATGTGTGAGAGGAGATTATCTAATTCCTCCAAGAAGTCCCCCAAGGCGCCTGGTGGACGGTAGAGAACAACAATGGTTAATTGTATAGGATGGGTTACTGTGACGGCATGGAATTCAAAGGGGGAAGGAGTGAAGTTAGGTAGCTTGAAGAGGGAAAAGCTCCATTTGGGAGAGAGCAGGAGACCAGTGGCACCTCCTCTGCCAGTGGGTCTAGGTGTATGGGAGAAGGAATATGCTGTGGAGAGAGCTGCTGGGGTGGATGTGTTGAATGGAGTAATCCAGGTCTCAGTGAGAGCAAGGAAATCCAGGGACTGCAGGGAGGCGTAGCCAGAGATGAAGTCAGCCTTAGGAACAGCTGACTGGCAGTTCCACAGGCCACCTGAAACTAGATGTTGGATCTCAGTGGAGCATGTGGGATAGATGAGAGCAGGCCGGTTATAGCGATTGGGAGATACACGAGACCAGTGATAATTGCGAGAAGACACATGAACAGGAATGGAGAAAATTAGTGAAGTTACGTATTGTGCCGAGGCTTCGAAGCGTGTGTCGAGTAATCCCCGAAGCTTTTTGTGAAGCTTGTATCGAGGCTTGTATCGTTTTGGGCCAGTGACGTCATCGATGACAAACGAAGCCTCGCTGCCTGTCGATACCACGTGACTGCTTTAGAAAGCGATTCAGATCGGTTGAACCCATAGGTTGAACCACAACGCTCATATTACCCATGGATGTATAATAAGAACCATATTACCCCTCCTGTACCCGGGCCCGGTGACACGATGGAATTAAGAGAGCTCAGACCCTCACTTATATAGAGGTCGGAACATGTCATAAGTATAAATAAATAAAAGCATAAATAAATGTAGGAATAAAAACATGAATACATACAGGAATACATTGTATAAAGTGTTTTCAGATGAATTCAGTGTGTGTGCTGCGGCTCAGCTGGAAAGCAGATGGCTCATGACGGCAGGGTCCCTGGTTCAACGCCTGTTCAATACGTCTTTGTTGTTTATAAAAGCTACAGCTAAATGAGATAATGTAGTTAATAAATAGTCTTTGATATGGTTTAGCCTTTCTCAGGCTACAACATGGTTAAGTTTACGAATATTATTAAGGAATACAAATCCCTCTTTGCAATGTTTACCAGCCTCCTTAGGCTTTTCAATCACAATCATTAAACTGGAATAAATACAATATTGTTAACATGAAAATGTGAGTTTATGTTCGTTGTTTAGAGTTATTCTAAGGCTTTACTCATTGGGAACTCGGTAGAGCACACTGTTGAGATGTCCAATCTGCCTGTTTTACTAACTTTGACCAACAGGGGGTTTGTGTTCAAATGAAGCCCATGATGAAGCCTCATGAGATGAACCCTTTTGTAAACCAATTCGCTAGAAAGCTTCAACGCTTCATAAGGCTTCATCTCGCCATCACTAGAGAAAATACACATGATTATAGCCTGAGGCTGAGCGGCTAGAAAACTAAAGAAAAGAAAAATAAGACACCAGCGGTAATTAGCTGAATGACTCCAGCAGGACTCCAATGTCTTTGTCAGTCTTCGGCTGTCTGACGCTCCAGGAAAGAGCTACCTATAATGGACGCCTGATTGCTGAGTTCTCACAGCTGTGGGGCCACGCCCCTCTAATTAGTTAACTCTCTACAGCTGATGGGCGAAAGCAGACTGGCCCTGCCTATATTGTAATGCAGGCTTGAGTGCCCACTGCGACCTGTGTAACAGGTTCCCTTGAGCAGATCTGAGATTTAAAATCTCTCAAAAGCGCCGTTTTAGCTACAATAACTACAGAACAATTATACAGAGTAGAATAAATGAAACAGAGAAGTCTAATTAAACTTTGATCCAGAGGTATTTTAAGGTATCTCTCCATAAGATGATGTGTGCATCTCGACCGGGTGACGACAATACCTATTGATGCAGCAACCACTGTAAGTTATATTCTTGTTTAATTAGACTTCTCTGTTTCATTTATTCTACTCTGTATAATTGTTCTGTAGTTATTGTAGCTAAAACGGCGCTTTTGAGAGATTTTAAATCTCAGATCTGCTCAAGGGAACCTGTTACACAGGTCGCAGTGGACACTCAAGCCTGCATTACAATATAGGCAGGGCCAGTCTGCTGATTGAGTGAAGCACAATAGCGTAAATTAGTCATCTTCCAGCTAAAAAGCATTCAAATACCGCATTTAAAATCTGATGAACTCAGTGTGCATCTCGACTGGCTGACGACAATACCTATTGACGCAGCAACCTGAGAAAGAAAAACAGGAAATCACATTTTAGGATGTGAGAGCAGCCAGTATTTGAGATTTCGGTATATTAAATGATTCAATGTTTAATTAAATACATATTTGAACCCTTTTAACAATTAATTGTCTGATTCTCTTCCTTTAACAAATACTTGTTTAATTTTAGTTTGTTTAATTATTGTATTTTATTCGACACTTTACTGGGAAGAGCTCTGTGGTCTGGGCCCGATAGAGCTTTTCTTAAAAAATTCTTATTTGTTAGTACAAAACAAAACAAACATGTACAAACTGTATTCTCAATACCTGACAAACGCCTTTTCTCCACTCCCTTTTTTGTACTTCATCACATTTTCCACTTCATACTGGTGCTTCCCTTCATGGATCTGGTGGACGATCAGCACGCCTCCCCTAACTTGAGGATCCTATCATTCAGGAGTATATGAACAAAAACAAAATCACCAGAAATACAAAATCATATATTTCAAAATATATCTCACATATAGCAATGTTGACTAATATGATATGATATGTTGTGTCACCCACCTTCACATCCATGGTGCTGACAGTGTCCGCTGCTAAAAAGACTGAATCCGACCCCGCTGACAGTGCCAGCCTTTTAAATCCTGAAGTGTGTTTGAGCTTCTGCTTTGCATAAGCAGAAGTGGAAGAAGGACTGAGAGGTGATGTATGTGGAACTGATGCCAGAAGAGGAAGTGAATGGAGATTAGTACATTTTCAATCCAAAAGGGGGACATGGTTTATGACTTTCTTAAGAAAAGAGAACTTTCTGATTTCATCAGTTGAAGCTTTTCATTTGAGTGTTTATACAACAATTCATGCCAGCACTGTTTTGTTATTTTACTGGATGTTCACTTCCTTAGCACAATTGTTTAAACCCTAAACAGAGGGAAGAGGAAATAACAACCATCAGTTTATTGTAGCTATGTCACATTAGATATGGGAATTACTGGAAAAATATGACTTCCTCTGTGAAAGTTAATATCTCTGTAGTGGATTATACAAGTATAGTAGGGTGGTTCTTTAATGAAGTAGAAACAGAAGTGAGAATTAACGCTTCTTCACAAATTGTAATGGTAATATCACATTTTGACTTCACTTTAATTTATTAAAAAGTAAATATAGTAAACAATTAATACTTTTTAAACTTTTATATTTGTATTAGCTTAAATGTTCTGCTTTGTAAGAGTGCATCTATCTAGTGTATGTGGGTTCTGTCAAACATTTAGCAGTGAAAGAAGTGTTCAGATCCTTAACTATTGTGGTATTAACTAAAGTTAGCACGAACACTGTACAAGATGGAAACAGCTAGCCTAGCTCTGCCAAAAGATAACAACATCTGTGGCCTCTACCAACTCACCTATAAAAACGCTAGATGTTAGGAGTACAATAGTGCCATTTCCAGGGTTCATAAGTTGGACTATTCATTTGCTAGCAAGAGGAACTTCCTTGTTGACACATTCAGGATATTACATTACATTACATGTCATTTGTTAGACGCTTGTATCCAAAGTGACTAACATACATTCAGTACTGTGGGCAATCCCCACAGGAGCAATTTGGGGTGAAGTGTCTTGCCCAGGGACACAACGACATGCTGACTGCAGTGGATATAAGTCAACCAGTGGAGACTCTAGGCCTAAAAACCTTTTTTATTATTGGGATGAGTTGTGTCACACACTAACAAACACACTCTGAAGCTATTTCAAGCTTTTCCCTGTTGAGCCAGTGAAGTCGAGCTAAATCTGTAGGAGCGGAGGTGGATTGAGTTACATGAGAAGCACATGCCACTATCGCAAAGTTTCAGGATCACCACCGTCCACTGCAACACGATTTATCTCAGAAGCTGGCACAAGTTGATAATCCAAACTTAAAGTAGGTACTCTGATGCCCTAAAATGTATGTACCTGATATTCTGCTTGATAAGTGTCTGTCTGACTGCTGAGCAAAAACATTGTTAACAGCTGAAGGTGATGAGTAATGTTGACCTCTGTGGTGAATTTCACTTGTTTTAATACGTTATTTGAGTATGAGATAATAAATGGTTAAAAGCATGTAATGCATTCATTAACAAACTATTTCAAGTTACCAGATGAAGCTTGGCATTGCTGTTGGAATTTATATTATTGTGTTTTGAGTTTTAGGAGCAATTCATAGATAGTTCAAAAGTGTCTTAAGCTTTGGTCAATGTGTTTATTTTATAGAAACTAGAATGTCAGCAGTTATCTGAAGCACATACAAACTGATTACAAATGTTTATTGCTCATTACGAATTAAAATACAATAATATGAAAAAGAAACATCTATTGTATTACTTCGATTGATTATTATGGGGCTCCCTTAAGGTGGGGTGCTGTAATATTTGAAAGAGTTTGCGTCTGAGTTGTGGAATGCACACTGCAGGTGACCTGATACATCAAAGTAAACTACCATTGAGTGAAAGTGAAATGTTACCGTTTAAGGAACTGACTCTGATTTCAAAATAGGCTTTGAAAGTACTACAATTTTCCCATGCTTGTTTATACGGGACATCTAACACATATTGTGGGTTTGTGTGTGTGTTTCAGATGGTGATACTCGATGTCTTAATAATAGGGGGTGGCCCTCATGCCTTGACCCTTGCCACCTTGCTATCCCACCCTGACACAAAATCAGACCCTGGACATGTCTCACCCCTCTCCATCTCCCTCTCGGACCCTGCGAGGGCTCAGACAAACTCAGAGACATCCAAAAACAAACGCTGCAGAGGCAAGAAGAAGAAGAGGGCAACAGCAGGTAACTGCTTGACGTCACTTACTAAATCCTATCAGATACAATTTTATATTATGAGATCAACTTTCTGAATTAAGAAGATTCACTGCTCTTCGTCCCACAATACAGTACACGGAATGTTTTTTTTGCTTTGTGTACACATTTTTGTCAGTCAGTCATTCTGTCTTATGTTGTTGTAATATTTATAATTTATTTTAGTTTTTCATAATTTTGACTAATTATTTCCTCCAGTCATCATTTTACATGTAAGTTCCAATCATAAGTATTGGTATGATACCTACATGTTAACTGGCTGAGTGTAAAACAAATAGTATTGAATTAACCTGAGATTCAGAACAAATTGTCATTTTTTCACTTCTTTCATTCATTAAAATTGAATCATAGTCGTCAGGTGTTGAATCCGAGGTCTGGAACCAGAAACCAGGTTACCTTACAAATAAAACACAAAATAAATGAATGACCTATTGTTACTGTCACTACTCTACTTCTGCATTTTAACTTGCATGAAATGAACAAAGGTAAAACACACTTCTGTTTCCCTTTTTGCTCTCTAAGGGGCTTCCCTATTAAGTTCATATGTCCTTTGGCAGGCCTGACATTTGAGGAGTGCCTAGCAAAGTCAACACTAGGGAGGGCCGATTGCCCCCCGCTGAGTCTCAGAGTGGTAGATTCCTATGGGGAGTGGACCACTCTGTGGGAGAGCCAATTCACAACTCTGAACATCCCTCACCTGCGCTCACACACACTGGTGCACACAGACCCTCTCAATAAGGTATGAACACTATCAACTTACCCTGAAGTAAAACAAGGAAAGTGCGTCTACAGTATGAGAATTAATACATATGTGTGTGGTGTTGTTGTTTTTTGTCAGAAAGCACTGCAGGAGTTTGTTTTAAAGTTGGACCGTTCAGCAGAGCTTCACAGTCTTCCAGACCAAGTTTATATTCTGGATGAAAACGCATTTTTTAATGATATGAGGCTCGGCAAGAAGGAGAGGAAACGTCTCAACATCGCCTCAACACTCAAAAAGAGTTTGTCCTTCAGTCTGCCAGGAACCAAACTAAGTGTGGATTTCTTCAAAGATCAGGTTAGCGACACAGAGTATTTGTGTGTGTTCTGCATGCAATGTTTAATGTTAACATGTTTCTTTATTGAATAAAAGCAATCCCAAAAGCATGCATACTGTAGCTGTATCTTTGTTGTTTAGAATTTGCTTTATGCTTGTTTGTAGTTTCTCTTAACTAATTTGGAAATCTTGAGTAAAAACAAAGGGGATTGTAGCTGAGTACAATGCTCAGGAGAACGTTTTGAGGGATGGACTAACACTGGTTTGGGTCACAGCATGAGCACCTACATCTGATCATTGCTATTTGCTGAATTGTTAAGTGGGTGGTTGTGAACCTGCAGGTGGAAAGATACAGCTTGGACAAAGTGCTGGTGAAAGGAACAGTGGAGTACATCAGCCCTGTGCTGGATGACGAGGAAAAGGGGGAAGAAGAGACCGAGTGGATGAAAGAGGGTGATGACATAAGAGTGACCGAGAGGAAAAAAGTAAAATATTTTGTCGTCAAACTTCAAGAAGGCATCAAACTTAAAGCCCGCCAGGTCGTTATGGCTACAGGTCCAACCCGCGCCCAGATGGCAAACATCCCTTCATGGGTGAAAAGCATCGGAGAGAGCTACCCAGAGGAGCGTTTGCAACACACTGTGCACCTGATGCACCACCTGTCATCTGCTAAGCAAAAACTTAAAGATGATGAGAGACAGAATGAGGCTTTTCACTCTCAAGGTAAGTCAGCTCTCTTCTGAGGGTTATGCAACATTACAATAATACAGAAACGCTTTGCAGGGAAACAATGTTTTAACATTTAGGATTCAATAATACATTGCTCTCACCTGAGGTTACCATGCTTCGACATGCTTCATTTCATATTTGATCCCCAGTCTCTGCTGCAACACTTTCCTTTACAAGTACTGTGTGTGTGTGTCTAGAATTGTGTGTAGTGTGTGAGGCAGGGCAGAGAGTAATGGTAGTTGGTGGAGGTCTGACCAGCGCTCATGTCGTCTCTATTGCCCTGCAGCAAGGTGCCAGCCATGTGACATGGGTTATGAGGAAGCACCTCCAGGTCTAGTGACAGTGTGAAACTGCATGTAGAACTACAACTGAAAATATACCTGACTTCCTCCAGCACAGGTATCAGTCTTGATTATGTATTCCGCAGTTGAAGCAGTTTGATGTGGGCGATGTGGAGAGCTTGGTGGGCCGTTACTCCCACGTGGAGCACGGCATCAAGATGGACGGCCAGGCCTACCTACGGCAGTTCTATAATGAACGCAGTCTCCACAAACGGCTGGCTATGATTCGCCAGGCAAGAAAAGGAGGGGCCGTTACCCCCGAGGCCTACATCCACCTACAGCCATTCATCCTGAGTGGACGGGTGGACGTGAAGACTTACTGTCAGGTAAAGGTGCATCCCAAAGGGTGTAAGATTAAAGGTGTAGTGCATTTGAGAAGGTAAGGTGAGGTTAATGGAGGGTTTTTACCTGAATCTCATGTAACTTTCCAGGTGAGTGAAGCCAGCTGGTGCTACAGGAGCCAGGCGTGGTGTCTGTCCCTCAGCACCGGGGCCCACTGGTCTGGAGATATGATCTGGCTAGCCACCGGCTGCAAACTTGATGTCAAACAGGACCCGCTGCTTTCTGAGGTGATGAAGGAATTCCCCGTTCAGGTAGGTTGGGCAATCAAATGTGTATGTAATGTACGTTTAGGATCAAAATACAATTACAAAATGATTAAAATGACCTAAAGGATGGTGACATACGAGTGATGTATGTATGTATTAATTAGGTCATTTTCCATGGTGTAAAGTTAACAAGGCGACATGAATAGATGCATTAATTGTTTCGGGTTTGTTTGTCCTCTCATAAAGGTGATAGACGGTTGGCCGTGCATATCAGAAAGCTTAAAGTGGACTGAAGGCTGCCCGCTCTACCTGATGGGGCAGTACACTGCTCTTCAGGTTGGTCTTCAACAGAGAGTTTTGGTGATCAAAAATAGTATCACCAACAATCTATCCTAATGTTTTACAATGTTTTTTCCCCTGTACAGGTTGGACCACATGCAGTAAACCTTGCCGGTGGTCAGGCTGCAAGCATTCGAATCGCCAAAGACATCATGCGGGGTCAGAAACAGCACCATGCTGATGCTTCTGAACTGAGTGGGGAGAAATCAAAAACTGAAGAATATATCCAACAGATGCAGGGCCTATTATGGTTTTAGTGTTAGACCAAAGAATATTAAAACAATTCTTGAATACTTTAATGATGCTGTAAAACTGACTTTGTTTTTGGGAACTATCACACCATTCAAATAAACACATGTTCATCTTTAATGGCTGAATCCAAATTATTTAACATTAATTTGAGTTACATTTACAAAATCTATATAGCGTTTTGTGTTTCTCATCCATCTGTGCGTTCACAATATGGCAAAACTATTTATTTTTTCTTAGCCAAAGGGCGTTGTATGTTATTCATATTAAGTCAGTGGGAAATGTGATTATGGGGGCAATACAATTCAAATTGACTCGGAGATTTAGACATGTCGAGGATTGTTTGTTAAAATAAGTCAACGTCGGTGTTTTGTAAAGACTGATTTGTTCTGCTGGACATTATTATAAGCTTCTTACCTTTCGCCCCATGTGGAAACATATTTAGCCACGCCCCCTACCAGTCTGTCTTCCGCATTGTAAGCCTACCTGAGAGAGTGCAGTCACTCACAACAACTGAGATTCCGCCATTAAAACCCACACAGTAAAACAACCAGAACAGTGTTGTGTTCTTACTTTAAGGTAGGTGGGTGGGTTTGCAATATATAACTTTAACGTTACGTTGGCAGGAATGTTAAAACATGATGATGGCGGTGCTCGTGGAGATTCATAACAAAAGGCTTACGGTTATGCATAAAGATATAAGCAAATAAAATGCCGCAAATAAAAACTGCGGTCAAGCCAGCCGTCTTTCACTTCTGCGTGGTCAAACCAGCCGCCCCTGTATTTCGAGTGCGCGATTAGTTACAGGTTTACGGTAATGCAATAAAAACAACCCTGGCTGGGAAGTTTCTAGTGCCCGGCCGTACACTTCTCCCGTTTCGTATGTGCAGTATTATATATTCGACCACTTTAAAGCTACAGAAAATCCCACCGAGGAACACTTCCGGTGAGGATTTCAAAGTAAAGGATGGCATGTGGTTCATTTATATTATTTGCGATTGAGGAACAGGGTAATTGATGAGAATAATGTTAGGACTTATTGCTTCATAAACTTGTTGCACAAATACTATGAACTACTTTTACTGTGTACTTTTTGAGAATGGCAAAATTCCCTCCAGAGAACAAGAATGAGCATTTTTGTCAACTTTAATGTGGGATAAAAAACATTTCTTCCATAAGTAGTTTCTGAAACTGCCATGTTTGTACTTAGTACTTCTAGTACTACTTGCACGTCCAGCTTCCCAGGGTTGTTTTATTGCATTACCGTAAACCTGTAACTAATCGCGCACTCGAAATACAGGGGCGGCTGGTTTGACCACGCAAAAGTGAAAGACGGCTGGCTTGACCGCAGTAAATAAAAGGCATCACGCATTAGAAAATACATCTTTAATTTTTAAGAAGTAGACTATGGACTCGGGACCACAGTTACTACAACAGCAGCAGTCAGACGACTTTCTTTGAGATCAAAGCTGTTTCAGCCGAAGATCCTATCAGTGCAAAGGATCGGAAGTAACGAAGATGGATATACACGTACAGAAATCCGGGAAATATTTCTCAAATGAATGTAGGGAACGTTTTGCAGCAGCAGATCTGAGATCAGCTGACCACCGGCTGATCAGATCAGCTGACTGATTAACTTATATTAACACTGGGAAATCCCTGTGCTTGCAAAACATTTCCTGTTATTTTGTCATCATCGTGTTACTTTGCAGTATTTGATTTTGGGGGATTTTGCTTTTGACAGTTGCTGTTCTCATTCTGCTTTGTATCACACACTTGTTAAAAGCAATAATATCAGAAGATATAACGTTACATTTCTAATAAAATGTCTTCAAAACAGTTTCAAGATGTTTTGAAGACATTTGATAAATTGTATTGCCTCTTCTTCAAAATTATGAAGAAAAGTTTGTGGACAAGAAAAAATCTGTACTTTTTGCCTCAAAACAACCCTTTTATTGTGTCCATGAATTCCTTTTATTCTCATTGTATCCTTTTTTTATTGAAATTCTCATATTTTATGATTTTGCAGTGACTAGTGGTTCATTTTCCCAGCACAATGGATGTCAGGAGAGTGGAAAAGACAGTTTTGAGTGTGGAACAGTCAGAGGGAGTCGGTGCTCGTGTCCGCAGAAGCATTGGTAGAAAAGAGGTATTTTTTTATGAAGGTCCATCTGTAAACCCAACATCTATTACATTTGTCTCCATCCATTGAGAGGTATCTTCAGTTGCTATCCAAATGTGTGATATTGGGTTATATAAATACAAATTAACTTGACATGTAGGCAGGGGCGCCGCCAGGGATTTTGGGTCCCATGAAAAGATAATCACATTGGTTACTTTGGTTGGTTAAAATAGTTTGGGCCCCTGTCAGTCATGGGCCCTTAGAATCGTCCTAACTTTTCACCCCCTTACGGCGCCCCTGCATGTAGGCCTAAGTGTAAATTCACAGTCAAACCTTTCTGCTAAAGATTCCTCACACTAGCCATTATCGCAATTGAAATTATACTATATATTTTGTTTCAGCTGAGGAACCTGGATCCTTTTCTGATGTTGGATGAGTTCAGAGTGAGCAAGCCGGCAGGTTTTCCAGACCATCCTCACAGAGGATTTGAGACGGTAAGAAGACAATACAGACATTAACTAGATAAATATAAGAAAACATACATAGAAAACGTATAATAACAGCTAAAACAATTACTCCATTAATCAATTGAGAGAAAGGAAGGAAACCTTTTTTGTTGATAATTGATCTCAATTATAAGTTAGCCATACCGAGGTTTCTTGAGGGGCTCTGCCTTAGCAAAAGTGAGGGTCTTAGAATAGATGTTGTTTTATGATGTTAAGATGTTAAAGCCCTCTTGATGGCAAAAACAGCAAACATTTCCAAGTTTCAGCTTCTTAACTGAATGAATTTGAGAATACAACCGTCACAAAAGAGAATCTAACTACAGTGGGACTTTCCAATAAAGCACAACTTTGTCCTTTTACCTCAAAATAAAATAAATAAGAGAATTATACTTAACCCTAAAACAAAAGGAGGAGCATAAGAACAGGAGCACAGGACCAACTGAGGCTGAGGAGTGAAGTTCCTACTTTGATCACTAGATGGCGACAACAGGACAGAGCCCATGAAGCCACAGTCCTCCTGTTAAACCCCAAGCCTGTTTTTCAGGTCTCAGGCTCGAAAATGACTTTCCCAGAACAAATATGACTATATCTTCACTTCTAAAAGGGGAAAATTAATAATCCTTTTTCTCAAAGCAATGATACACCTGTGAGTTGGATGTAGAAGAGTCAGAATCAATATAGATTTTTTTTATTTTAAAGTAAATTCAGATTGAACATAGTAAACACATATTACATAGTGAAAACTACCCTTGGATGATGGGTTAGTAGACTAAAATATTTAGGAATCCAAACTATAACAGATAACAAGTACCCTTTATCAAGATTGATGCAAAACAAATGACATTTTACCTTTTTTAGAGAGGTTTAGCAAAAGAAAACCCACTTCTGGGGTCATTTGGGTGGATTTGCCATATCTCTGGCTGCCCTCGGTTGATTTTGATGATTGACACCTCTTTTGAACCGTTGGAGCTAATAGAATCGAGGGGAAGTTCCTAAATCCAACTACACATTACCATTGAGGAGTGAGAGTGATGTGCACGCAGTTTGCCCAAAACCGGAAGCTGGGTTGTAGCTCTCACACACAGGGACATGAAATCTCAGTTTTTGACAAAAATGGAATGATGGATTATCAGTAATCATTTCAAAGTGACACAGAGACATTGGATTAACCTTCAGCAGAGTTTATATGCGTTTTAATGCCATTGAACACAACTATTGATCAGAAAAACAGTAAAGGTAAGACATATTTGCCGTTTTGGCTCAGTAAAGCTACGTTGTATGTTGTTTTGGTTTGCCTTCGCTGCCTGAGTTCTGGTCGCACATGATGATACTTATACTTCTAGAATCTGTGGAATCTCAGCTTTAATCTGATATCTTGTTTGTGCAGATCCGATAAGTAATAAAGTATTTCTACCATGAGTTCTGTGCTAAGTGCGTTAGCATTTTTTCGCTCAGGACTAATTCAGAGGATTGGTATTATCCTTGTGTTTTGTTTAGCTAATAATGGTTCATATCGTCAGTTAGCTGAGTTTCTTCCCATTAAGTGTGTATTACACATTAATAGGTTGTTAAATGTTAAGAAGCCCTGAGACACAGTTTCGTGGGGAAAAAAGGCCCGTAGCCCCCGCCGGCGGGGGCTATGGGGCTTCACAGGTTACTCCAATAACACACCTGCTGAGGGACAGGGGCAGCCACCTAATCTGTATTCAAATAGTTGTTAGTGTGGCCCTTTATGAGTTGGGTTTATATATTTCATTAAAAAATTGCCAGAAATACTAAGTACTGCTAAGTTTCCATGAGCCCAATTTGAGCCCAGAAAGCTTTGGGTTACATATTTTAATCATCAACTTTTAGCTTTTTTTTATTTCATGCCAGATTTAAGAATATGGTGGAAAATTAATTGTTGATTATGTCTATGACAGGAAAGTAATTATGGTAGCTGGATACAAGTTCTGAATGTGAGATTTGTTTTAGTGTTAGTTGTTCATTTCTCTTAGGCTCTTCTTGTTAGTTGAATCAACAATTTTAAGACATTATTTGGTATCAGTATTTGTATTTAACAGACTTATTTGTCAATTAATAATTACAATTAAAACCATTATCCAACATGACTTCTTAGAATGACCTTTTCTTCAAGCTAACCTAATCACTGTCCAGATGCTGTTCTCAGTCATAAAACCACATATCACCAGAATCTGCCTTCATCTTAACCGCAGTGAAGTTTGTTTTGTTTTGGCTTTGATATTCAGATCAAGCAGCGTCTTCTTCTTCAGTTTCTCTGTCTGCAGTCAGAGGACGGGTCGCTCAGATCCGAGCCCTCACTCTAACCACAGGGTTTCACTTCGGGAACTTCAATAAATGACTGTTTGAATGACACAACCCCAATGGTAGTTATTTAAAAAGCTATTAACAAGTTACTGCCCTTGTGTGGTACACTTTTATTTTATTCAGATGTGTCATGATTTTACAAAACAATTTTATTATAAGATAAT